GACGAAATGTTTTTTATTAGCTTATTAACTACTAACTGTTGCCCGCGACTCCGTCGGCGCGTGATACAATAAATAATAGATACCGGATAAAACATACATTGTAGCCAATTCTAGACCTACTCAATATGCTCACAAAATTTCATGAGAATCGGTCAAGCCGTTTCTGAGGAGTATGGTAACGAAAATTGTGACACGAGAATTTTGTATATAAGAAGATTTAGCTTTTAAAGTTAATTAATTTAAAACTTGTAATTTGAATATTTTCGACCTTTTTAACAAAATTAATTTTACGTTATATTTCAATTACATTTTATTTGAAATAGGTGATTTTTTTTAACTTGAAGAATTACGAAAATTAAAAGAGGCCAAATCCTTAAGAATGTAAGCTTAAATCCTGCTTAGTTCCCTGCAATACGCATTTTTAAATATGCCAATAAATATAATAAACTGCTATCGTTTATTTTTTATTATAAATAAAAAAATAAAATCTATAGCAATCTAGATCCATGTATCGTGAAACAAAAAAACTTAAGAAACCGGTTCTTTATTTGGCAGTAGACAACAACTTTTTTTTTTAGTTTTCGTTAACATGAAGATATGTTTTGTTATTATCACTAAGAAATCATTCAATGTCTAGCAATTAATCTTACTAATATAAACGCGAATGTTTAGATGGATGGATGTTTGTTTGAAGGAATCTCTAGAACGGCTGCATGGATCTCAATGAAATTTACTGTAGATGTAGAACATAGTCTGGAAGAACACCTAGCCTCCTAATTATTATTTTGTATAATTCCGTGTCTGTAGTATCAGGCTATAGCTAGGAATAGAATTTAGATATATCATAAAATCAACCAGTGTGAATATTTGTTGACGCCAAAAAAACCACTCGCAGTGAGTCCGAAATTGGGCCTAACTGATAAATTGCAAGCGAGCAATTCACTAACAAGGTAACACAATAAACGCTCTGTCATCTGTCGCTTCCACTGATTTATTATTGTCCATTGACCCTTGCGTTGGAAATTTTTGAACTTTTTTGATATGTTTGACCTTGGTATTTGTTACCATGGCAACTTCAATTCAATGAGTATAGGTTCCAACCTGTTAATCAATAAAGTACACGAGTAATTAGCGTAATGTATAAATTCTGACTGACTTTTGGATTATTTTCCTTAATACCACCGTCACCTCCCCTTCCCTAATAGAAAAAGGACTAAGGCTTCCAACAAACACAATCATCAGCCGAAACATGGAATAACTTCAATATTATACATGTCTTCTGTATGGTCGCACATTCGTGTAGGACCTGAGTTGTTTCTGACTAAATTCTTAAAATAGTATTTTTTTTTGATCATCGGATCATTATCACAGATATAATAAGAGTTTTGAATGAGATATATATATATGTATATATATATATATATATAAACATTTCAACAAGACAGACAGAATATATTCTGAGAATTTTAAGATTAGAATCACACGAAAGTTTGAAATAAGATTTTTACACGAACGTCAACTGCGTATGAAATAAAAAGTTGTCAGAAATTCAAGGAACATCGTGAGCGTCGGTGGCTCAGTGGTCAAGCACTTGACTTGCAATCTACAGGTCCTGGGTTCGAATCGCAACATGTACCAATGTGTTTTTCTATTTCCGATTTGACATATGTACATTTACATATGTACGTTCTTACGGTGAAGGAAAACATAGTGATGAAACCTGCACATATCTGAGAAGATATTCAAAGATATGTGTGAAGTCAACCAACCCGCACTTGGCCAGCGTGGTTGACTATGGCCTTAATATAGTGAGCTGATGATGATGATAATTCGTAAGTATTATTAAGAGTTTGTAATTAAATCAAATATAAAGGAATTGTTTTTTTTTGGTTTTCTGGTGACATAATTAAAGGTGAACCTGTTTACTTTTAGCGTCAAATTACAATCAATCAATAGCATCCCACCGCACCAGTTCAATCGGGATTACTATAATTATCTAATTTAACTGTCCGCTTGTTTGCAACAAGGTTAACTAACAATTTACTACTTGTTCTTAATAAAAGGACATGTCCTTTCTGTGTCATACCAGTATGAGTAAGTTTATAGAAAATACGCAAATAATAATTAAAGAAATCGAAGTAGACATTTATTTCGTATAGTGCAAATCTTCCCTGGGACCTAGGAATAGCCTACAAACATTTAATCAATATTTATCTAGTGTTTAAAGCACAGAGGACTTAACATACAGTGTACATCTTACTAATATAAATGCGAAAGTATACATGGATGGATGGATGTTAGGAGGTATCTCCGAAACGGCTCAACTGATCTTAAAGAAATTTGGCATAGACTTTATTTTTTATTCCCGCTCGGTTGGAGTCGCGGTCGACAGCCAGTTTATTTTTATAATAAAACATAGATTGATAAATATAGATAATATATAAATGGTCATCCCAAAACAAATTGCAATAAGAAATATTCTTATAATGAGTTTAAAATGACACAATATGCCTTATACAGAGGTGAAAAGATGCACTTTAAAGGACAAGGCTTTCGCTTAGCGACCTCTGCCGTAAACATGTTGCGAAATAATAATAATTGATCGTCCACTTGGTAAGTGAAATCTGTGGAACAATAATATTATGTTTTATTACCTGTCGCACGCGACTCCGTCCGCGAGATAAAAAAAAAAAGATAACCAGTTTTTAATTCAATGCTCGTCAGCAAACGCGTAACACTGGTACTAAAATATATTGATTTCCTTTTTCTTGAAAAAATGAGATAAAAATAATTTTGTATATATTAGCAGTGGACATCGTTATATAGAATAGAAGTCTCAACTGGTATAGTATGTTTCAAATATGTCAGCTTGGGTCTATTAAAAAACGTAAAAACAGTACTAATTTGAAGAATAGCATGCCAAATATAATACAAATAGCATGAATGTTATTTTTCAAAGTCGGAGATTCAGATCTTATCATTTTATTTTCAAAATGATAATTATGACGCCACAGTACGAGTATATAGCGAATTCATAAAAATTCTAATTTTGAAACGATAATAAATATTTTATAGCTACATCTTTCGTCTGCACATTGTGCTAAAATAGCAAATTTTAAGTAATACTGCACCTATTTATAGATGGCGCTGATTCTTAAAATTGCAAAAACGTATGTTTTAAAATTTTTGACAATATAATGTTGCCCTTTAAAAATAGATGGCGCTTGCTACAATTTGTGTAATTAAATATTTTTGGGTAGTGTAACATACAGTCGAACCAGGATAAGCGAAAACTGCATAGGGCAGACTTATTATACTGATTCTGCGCGATCTCGATAACTCGAGTTAGATCACAAATCAATATTATTTTCCATGTTTATAATTTATTTATTTTTACAAAAAAAACTACGTTTTTTAAATTACGTTGGATGCATCTTCAATAGAATGTTAAAAAAAGTTTTTGGCAAACCATAACGCATGCGCTGTTGTGTAAAATCATTCGGCCAATGTAAACACCAATGCAGTACCCAAAACATTTAAACTCTGGCCATGTGTAAGGAATAAAAAAGAAAATTACAACGAAAAAAGTTCTGAATTTAAAAATGGTTTCATCGAAAACAAATGAAGGTACGATATTTTTTAATTTTAAATTTAACAATGCATGATAAATTGACTTTGATTAAAAAAAAACTATCGCTTTTTTGTTTATTTAAATAAAACACAAATTCACTTACATTAGTGGTTACTGGAATCTTGCACAACACAACACTCACGCGTTTATCAAAGAAGGGTAAGTAGAAATAGCAGAATTTATAAATATATTATGCACAACAACGTCTAGTAGCATTTCTAGATTTAAATCCTTTTATAGCTTTTTTACCGTAAAAAAGATTTTTTTTTTCTTGCATAGGCGTATGAATTTAATATAGTTTTTAAATAACTTTAGATATTTTTAAATTAAATATCAAATGACAAAATAAAATAAATAAAAAAAAATGAATTGGCTAATTTCAAGTTTATTTATTATATTAATAAAAACTCAAAATCAAGTCAAAACTTTTTCGACGTATTTTTTTATAAAATAAAAAATATAGACATTTTTTGTTGTGTTTGTAATTTCAAATACTTAATCATTTGAATAGTATTAATAAAAAACCCTAACAGTAACTACCCTATGAATACTAGGGGTATAAAATTTGACGCAACGATTTAATTTTAGAAGTTTAGCGTGAAGGTAACTTAATCTATGCAGTGAACCTTGAAGTCACTTCCAGGCGGGCACGGAGCGCACTGCGCAGTCGCAAACATAGCCAACTTCATTGCTGTACCAAGCAAAACATATATGAGGGTCGCAAAACAGTATTGAAATACAAAATATAGTGAAATATCTAGATTTATTTACGAATTATATTGTATATTTATATTGAGAGATAAAAGTGATAGTATTTGTTAAGTGGAATTATAAATATAGTTGAATTGATAAGTGATATACAAGGTAAGCGTGTAAACTTTGTTTCAATGGTCAAATGTTTTTGCTTATTTTACATTTATAAATCTTCATTTAGCTAAGTCGTTAGTCGTTTTTGTATATTCAGTCATATTTAGTAAATATACTTGTTTGGATTTAAGAAATAGGAAAACTCCAGTTACATACCAACAAATTTGATATTTCCTGATTAAACTTCATTGTGCGCGGACAGTAACTCGACTTGTCGTCTGAATAGCTGGGCTAAAATCATCTAATTAATTAAATTATCGCTATTAATTTCTTCTAATCTTATTTAATTAAAGTAAGAAATGTAACATTTTAAATATAAACAGTAAAATTAAAAATATGTTATTAACGAAAACATTATGAAAAATGCAATAATAAATAATTAGAGCATTAAAAAATAATTTCTAATAAATTATTACTGGCATTATGCGATCGGCCGTTGACATCAATTAAAAAAAAATATAGCTCAAGCAGGGCTGCCTGCACTGCGCCCAATCGATCGCGCGACCGCGCACGCGTGTTACCGGCAACCCTACGTCAGTGGTGCGAAGGCGCGGGGACGCGAAACACATCGCCATGCCTAAGCCGACCCCCGTCGAGGACCTCATCATCCCGCCGCAAGATCAAAAAATATGCGGAACGATCTGTGTTTGTCAAATGACAGCGGTTCTGAGTGCAGTAGCTATCGTTTACCTGACAGTTGCTATATACATGCCGTATACCCGAGCTATCGCTTCAGGAATCGATCCAACACCAATCATGTGTACCACTACACGAGCTGTTAACAAAGAGAACTGTGATTGGGGTTCGTGTGGTGAATGGTGTCTCAGCAAAACATCCGGAGCTTGCATTCAAATCTATGTCAACGTGAGAAAGAATGGTTCCTCATTATTATTGGCCGAATGTGGCAGTGCTGCTAATAAAACATGTTATGGAATCGATCAAGAAAATGCCAAGAAATATCACTGCATTCGTGACGAATGTCGTAACCTGACAGGAACATTTAATTGTACCGAAGGAAAATGCATCAATATAACAGACGCTTTCGAATGCGCTTTCAGAGAAACAGACCCACCGTTAAAATGTTCCGGCAGACGTGGCAAAATAACATGTATAGACGTGCACGGTTTATTTTCATGTAATCGAGGAACTTGTAGAAAAATTAGAACACCCTATAATTGTGACCGACGATGCGTTGATATTCCGACTCGTAATAAGAATGTTATTGTACTTAGTGGTGACAGAGTATTTTTAGCTAGATGTGCGAAATTAGCACAAGAAGACGGCGGTAATATAGTCTGGACAGATTCTGGTGAGGAGGTTCTAATGCTTTCATGTCACGCAGTCCATAATGGAACAAATGGAGTAGTCGCCGTAGATTGTATTAACGCAGCCTTACTACCTCGTGCTGATATCGCAGATTTGACCAATTTTACGTATCTGCAGTATCTCTACACAATGAGAGCTACTCCGAATCGTCTCATAGCTCCGTCAGAAGTCGAACTGACATTAGCCAACGATAGTCGTCTGATGATCAATTTGGAGGGTTGCGTCAACACGCTCGCTGATGAATGCAAAGAGTTTTTAAAAGATTATGGTCGTGATGGTACTGATCATAATGCGAAGGCCAGATTCCCTTGCTTTTACACAGAAAATAATCCGGACACAGTTGTAGCTAGATTCGATTTGGATGCTACGTTCCGTCAGTTCTTAGTGGCTTTAGTTTTACCTACTGTCTTGGTAGTTGTTTCGTGTATAACTTTATTGTTGTGCCAGAAGACCGTAGAAGTTGGTGATGATGCTAAGATGAGATTCAAAGGTTGTGCCAGTGGTCAAGCTGAAATGCAAATGCATCCGAACGATCCTGTATCACCCCTCTGAGATCAGTCACGTGAGCTTCTTTGTTTAAATATTATGATATACGACACGAATAAATCGGTTAAAGCAGTAGGCTTGCGCACAATGAAGAAAATCACGTAATAGGTACACCTACATGAAAGCTGTTCGTGCTGACCTTGACATATTTTTTCGTGGCTTTAGTTAAAGTCAAAGTTATTCAAACACTTCTGTAGAAATAAATATACTTACGTGTATATTTATGGGGTTATAAAGTTAAAGATTAGTTGTATCTGTTTACAAATTTTTTGAAATATGTATTTTATAATGATTTTACAGCATTTGTATATTTAATTTCAAACATTAATCAATATCTTAGTAGATAATGAAAGTTTTAAGTACTAATATATAATTTTTCTCTTTTTCCAGGCGTACCCCTCCTTTGTGAGGGTCCGGCTAGTTCATTAAGAGACGACTAAGTGCTTTCAATGCTTTAACTGCCTTAACCTTCCTCATGTCGACGTTGAGCAGATCAAGAGCCAGCCTCTCGCCAGCGGCGTCGGAAAGGTCTACTTTACCTATGGGAGAATCTGCGGGACCGGGAAGTCCAGCTTTTAAACCACTCGAGCCGACAAGGGAGCAGCTACTTAATCACTTTTTCGAAAGATTTAAATTTTACACATCACTCTGCCTCGGCACATCAGCTATACTCGCTGTCTTCGCTTTCCTCTTTCTGATCCCGTTCGTTGTGGAACCGGCTATACAGACGATCCTCGCTGAATTCGTACCAGAAGCAGGAATCTGTTCAGTTTCCGAGCATGTTCATGCGGAGACATTAACGAACTGTACATGGGCATCGTGCAGGGAAGGTTGCACCACAGCGCACACAAAATGTCATAAGATACGAGTAAATCTGGCAAGGAAACCTTTTGTGGAAGGAGCACCGGTACCAACTGAATGGGACGAGACAGATCTACGATTTCTAATAAATCCCGAAGGCTGTGGATATCCACCGAGAGTAAATTGCTCAGTGTTCGCAAGCGATTACGCTGGACCTCGAGCACCGAAAATTTTCCCATGTTATTACAGCTTAACGCGACCAGATTTGGTCGTTGCAAGGTACTCATGGGAGTCGACGGTGAGAGGTTTGATCCTCGCATTGGTGCTGCCGACCACTGTCTTCGTATTCAGTCTTAGTGTGCTCGCCTACTGGCACTGTCGGTGCTGCAATAAAGCTTGCAACAGGCGAGTGCACGCCGAGTCATTCACGAGCAAAGAGGAGTAAGTATTTTAAGCTACATTTCATATCAGATTTTTACTATTTTCAAATGTTACAATTGAAAATTGATTGTTTTTTGTTGATTTGGCTATAAGGATAGTAAGTAAGTACCATAATATTGCAGGGTCTGTAGGCAATTGAAGTATACTGGGGGATCGTTCTAATTATTGGTATAATTGTAAAGTGTATGTAGTCTTTAGAAGTACGTTAAAGCTTCATATGCACTATGCAGAGTGGTCTGTCTGTTTTAGTATATTGCACTGTACATAGATAGACTAACTTTGGAAATAGATTTTATATATATTCCTAAAAGTACAAAGAACAAAGGCGAATTTTGTAACAAAGAATTTTTTCTTTTATTAATACTGTTGGAAGACAGCGAACAATAGAGCTCAAGGTTTAGAGGAAGGTTTATATTTCTAACTTTTGCAGTTGCATTTTGCAGCAACGTTGTTTTGTTTGTTATACTAGAGTTAGAATAGGGGCACATTTTTTGGATTAGAAATACAATATCTACTACATTCTGGCTACATTTATCGATAATAATTTTTCAAATCTATTAGACGAATCTGTAGGTCTTTAAAAATATGGTATGGCCTTGGCCATCCTTGTTCTTGCAAGGTGCTTTTAATGTTCTTATATTCTTCATTATATTTTTCGCAGTAGTAAGCTCCTTTGCGAGCTGGACGAAGACCCGAGTGATGACGTCTTCTGACGCCGAGCGACTGTTGCCAGGCGACGCGCCTCTCCACGCTCTGAGGGCTACACGCAGCTATGAACCGCTGCGTTCCGTAGCAGCCGCTTAGCCGCGGCGTAGCTACCTCGTAGCCGCGGTAGCAACACGACCACCGAATCTTTTCTGCATATTAATAAGCTTTAAAAATTAAAATTTGATTAAAATAACGCCTTATTCTTATCAGAATCTAGTCTTTTAAAGTAATTTAACTTTTAAATTTCAAATTTCGAATGATAACAAAGGAACGTTTCTTTTTAAAACAAAAGGCAGTTTAACATTCAAGCAAAAAGGCTTTGCTTTGTAAAATTGAAAAAATATAAAAAAGTCGAATATCGTCTCTTAATTCTAAACTCGGACTAGGCCGGATAGTTTTTAAGGTTGTATATCTGCTAAATTATGTTAGCTAAGACAATATATGTGTAAAAAATAACTACGCTGATATTATTCTAGTTATATTTTAGCATTTTAAATGATGTAATTAGTAATAATTTCAATTTAGCTTTGCTGTTTAAATTTTCTTTCACACTAATAATTAAAAAAAGATACGTACCTATAAGCAAAAACAGAACAAACGCTAATTTTTTATTTTAGAAATTTTACATTATTTAGTTGTGATTTTTAAAACAATGTCGATCAGAACTAAACAGATTATTATATTAAAATTTACTCTTAATAATAATAATTGTTATTTATTAATGTTGAATATTTATTATTTAAAAAAATTAAGCATATATCTATATATTATATTTAGTAATAATAATTTTAATAACTTCTATAGAGATAAAATATTTTGCAGTAATATTCATACAGCTAAACTACCAGTGGAATTAGGTTAAGGCAAAAATATAAGTTTTATTTAAAACGGCATAAGGACAGAAATGTAAAGTTTATGAAATTGATATTAATTGCTTTAAAAATAAGTATCATTTTCCTATGTATCAGAGGATTTTATACACTATTTCAGTACCATTATTGAGTAATTCTTCAATTGCTTTAAACATTAACAGTCTTAGCTTTACTAACGCCAGGGGCGGCGTCTTTCTTTTTTAATTATGCCTTTAAGATGTAGGAAATTAATAGGGTTATGTGATACTCTGTAATTCGTAGACCTGTCGCACCTTCTGTCCAGCGCCCTCTCCTCCATAGCGGAGGCATACCCACTAAACCCCTCTGTTCCTCCAACGCATCGGGACGGGACCACGGGCACGCTTTCGCTCTCGTCCGCGGCCCCGTCTGCGCCAGCTGCCGAGGCAGCTCCCTCTCGGGGGGGAGGCAACCCTCAGTCGCCGGTGATGGTCTCCCCCGTGTCCATCACCAGAGGGCTATTGTGGGAAGGAGAAGGCGGCGGCATATTGCCGCCTTCTCCGCCCCACTTACCTACGTCTGAGCGGGGGCGCCAGGGGGTCTCCCTCGCGCTCCCGTCTATCCAGCGCCCTGGGCGGTCGCCCACCCGTGCCCTACCCTAACGCCGGCTCTGGCTACAATTATAATACTGCTTTTTACGTGTTATAATGCTTTTTACGCATTTACTTAGAAGTTATCTGCACCGTATTTTATTACTATTGAGTGATAATACATCGACATAGTTTTATAAGGCTAAGTTACACTTATACATTCACGGAAGTTCAAAATAGTACCTATTCACAAAACTGAATTATAAATTAGTAAAGAGCTGATTAATTCTATGTGTCATGTGTTTTAAAAATATCATTGAAATACTGTTCATTTAATAATTGTCTTTAGCAAAAGTCGTAAATAGATTTTAATAAATTTGCATGTTTAAATAGTTTTAATAATATAATGTGTTATATAAAGATATAAATCTTCTTATAGCTACAGAATCATTATTGCACATAATTCTATTTATAAAATTAAAAAAAAATATTTTTGTTGTAAATAAAAATTAATTTTATCGTTAAAAATTATTAATAAATTATGCTTATTCAAATAATATTGTAAATAAAATAAATTGTTTCTCAAAATCGCTATAAATGTAAATAATATTAATATTATAATATATATAAAGATTGAGAGTCAAAATGTGAACGATGAAATTATTGGCGAAGTGATGAACGCCATTTTAGAAGTTTATCCGTATCTAAAAAAGATTTTTCCTTAACAGCGATCTTTTAGGTTAATTAGGGGACTATAAATCAAAACCTACTATAAGCAGTCGATACCTAAAGCTTTGAGCTGTAGGAAGGTCCGTAATAATTTTAATTAAAAACATACATATATAATTAACATTTGTTTCTCAATCTTTATGAATTTTCCGAATATTTATTAAGTTATACTTCAACGACTATCATTGGTAACGGACACAAAGTGTTATGACAAATAAAGCTTCTTTTTATGACGTTGTTTTATTGAATACTAGCTGTCGCCCGCGACTCCGTCCGCGTGGATATATAAAAAAACTTAATATATAGATAAGTTAAATAAAAAGCAGCTCTTCAAAGCAAAAATTCGAAAAAAATGAATAAATAGTATCCTATGTCCGTTTCGTGGCTCTAAGCTACCTCTCACCAATTTTCAGCCATATCGGTAAAGCCGTTCTTGAGTTATAAATAGTGTAACTAACACGACTTTCTTTTATATATATAGATTTATTTACCAAATCAAAGACTTGATAAAAGAAAGTATATGCTTGCGGATAGCATTAAATACAGACATGTGTCGCCTGAGGTGTAGGAAGTTTAGAGAATTCAAAAATGTATCTCCCATCGGCATAAAACGTTTACAGTGGCCGTTAGCAATAAAATTCTAAATTAGTGAAAAAACGAGTTTGATCATTTTTTTACATTCCTAAATCCCGTTTTCGATGTTTTGAAGCATGTTCATAAATAAGTGTTTATAATAAGACTAAAGTTTATTTAGTATAAATTAAAAATTTTAATATTTAAATGACACTTTAATAGCGCCATTAAATAGCGCTATTTCATTCATAAGAACCTAAATTAGGATTTTTTAGGTATTTAATATCAGGGTTAGGTTTTTTTATTATATATCAAAAGGTGGCAAACAAGCGAGCGGCCACCTGAAATCGCTGCAATAGCGAAGCGACCGTTGCCCATAGACATACTCAATTGCATATGCGTTGCCTACCTTAAATCTACGGAGTAGAGGATGCACAGAAAGGAAAATATCTTCCCTTTCCGTGCATCCTCTCATCCGGAAAGTTCACTTCCACTTCCCATCCTTTCCTTATAAAGAAAAGGATGTGACGGAAAAGAGGACTAAATCAGGCCTCCGGGACGCCTGGTTATGGCTGTATTACAAAAACTTAGTGAGCTTATGTATAACATTCTATGAATATCTAAATAATTGGATTCAATTCAGGTCATATACAAATCGATATTTTAATTATGTTACTACGAACAACAATTGAGGAAAATCATTGGTACCGGAAAAAATGAATAATGTACAATATTAATTAAGGAATCAATCAATACTAATGTCTTTGGGAGGCTTTCACGATTTGTTTTAGAAGGTTTTTGACTA